TCCTGCCATGGATAACCTACACTCCTGAAGTTATAATCAAAAGAGCATCTACAGGTTAAAATAATGAAGGGTGTACATTTAAAAATATGAAGAGATGTACAGAACCCATGCATATGTCTAGGCATGCCAGTTCTTTACTAACCTACAGGTTCTTGAATATGGGACACAGCATTGATCCCTTCCACGTTCTCATAAGCCTTCTGTCTTCCCACCTCTTTGTTCTAAGAGCATCCATTAAAAAAATCAAAAGCTATTAGCGGCGGGGGGGAGGGAGGAGGGGAGAGAGAGGGGGGGAGGGGGTGGGGAGGGGGGGAGAGAGAGAGAGAGACAGAGGCCTAGCATGTGAGCCATGGTCCTGCCTACCCTGATAGGAGTGACCATCTAAGCCTTGGGCCCATCTACACCTAGAGGAGCAATCACTGGAGGATCAGCTCTGCCTGTACCTGAAGGAGCATTCAACAATGCCACAACCCCCAACTACACCAATTGGAGGAAGAGGGACCCCCTGAAGCACAGAGTCCACCTGTCCTAATTGGAGGAAGAGATGGGTAGACAACAGGATAAGAACACACTTAACAACACAAAGAGCAATAGAGCACCACCAGAAATGAGTGGCTCTGCAGCAATAAGACCTGTACATCCCAACTCAGATGAAACAGAAGAAAATGGCTTTAAAAATAACTTTATGAAGATGATTGAGGCCCCTAAAGGGGAGATGAAAAATTTCCTTTAAGAGATGGAAGAAAAGACAAAAGAAATTGGAAGATATCATCAAATCCCTTAAAGAAAACAAAGAAAAAGCAATTAAACAGGTGAAGGAAAAGGTTCAAGACTTGAAATCTGAAATTGAGGCAATAAAGAAAATACAAACCGAGGGAACTCTGGAAATGGAAAAACTGGGTAAATGATCAAGGACTACAGCTGCAAACATAAACAACAGAATATAAGAGATGGGAGAGAGAATCTCAGGCATTGAAGATACGATAGAGGAAATAGTTCATCAGTCAAAGAAAATGTTAAATCCAACAAATCCCTAACACAAAATATCCAGGAAGTCTGGGACCATGAAAAGACCAAACCTAAGAATAATAGGGATAGAAGAAGCAAAAGAAGTCCAGCTCAAAGGCACAGAAAATACATTCAACAAAATCATAAAAGAAAACTTTCCCAACCTAAAGAAAGACACACCTATGAAAATACAAGATGCTTACCTAACACCAAACAGACTAGCTCAAACAAGTCACCTGATCATATAATAATAAAAACACTAAACATACAAAATAAAGAATATTAAGAACTGCAAAGGAAAAAGGCCAAGTAACATACAAAGGCAGACCTATCAGAATTACACCCCACTTCTCAATTGAAACAACAAAAGCCAGAAGATGTTATGGAGACACTAAGAGACCACAGATGCCAGGCCAGATTACTATACTCAGCAAAGCTTTCAATCACCATAAACAGAGAAAGCAAGATATTCCATGATAAAACCAGATTTAAACAAAATGAATTCACAAATGCAGTCCTACAGAAAGTACTAGAAGGAAAACTCCAACCCAAGGAAGTTAGCTACATCCACAAAAACACAGGCAATAGATAATCCCACACTAGCAAATCCTAAAGAAGGGAAACTCACATATAATACCACCATCAACAACAAAAACCAAAAATAACAGGAACTAGCAACCACTGGTCATTAATATCTCAATATCAATGGACTCAATTCACCTATTAAAAGACACAGGATAACAGAATGGATATGAAAACAGAATCCATCCTACTGCTGCATACAAGAAACACACCTCACTACAAAGATAGACATTACCTCAGAGTAAAGGGTTGGGAAAAGATTTTCCAATCAAATGGACCTAAGAAACAAGCTGGTGTAGCTATCCTAATATTTAACCAAATAGACTTCAAACTAAAATTATTCAGAAGAGATGAAGAAGGGTATTTTATATTTCTCACAGCAAAAATCTGTCAAGATGAAGTCTCAATTGTGAACATCTATGCCCCCAATACAAGGGCACCTCATTTGTAAAAGAAGCATTACTAAAGTTCTGCCAGATCAAAACTTAACAGAGAAATAAAGGAACTAACTTATTATGACTCAAATGGGCCTGACAGACTCCTATATAACATTCCACCCAAACACAAAAGAATATACCTTCTTCTCAACACCCCATGGAACCTTCTCTAAAATTGACCACATACTCGGTAACAAAACAAACCTTAACAGACACAAAAAATGAAATAACCCCCCTGTATCTTACCAGATCATCATGGCTTAAGGTTAGAATTCAACAATACTAATTGCAGAAAGCCCATAAACTCATGGAAATTGAACAGTGCTCAACTGAATCACCTCTGGGCCAAGGAAGAACTAAAGAAAGAAATTAAAGACTTCCTAAAATTCAATGAAAATGACAACACAACATGCCCAAACTGACTGGACACAATGAAAGCAGTGATAAGAGGCAAATTCATAGCACTAAATGCCTACATGAAGAAGCTAGAAAAATCTCACACTATGGAATTAACAGAACAACTGAAAGCTCTAGAACAAAAAGAAGAAAACTCACACAGGAGGAATAGGTGGCTAGAAGTAATAAAATTTAGGGTCAAAATCAATAAAATAGAAACAAAGAAAACAATATAAAGAATCAATGAGACAAAGAGTTGGTTCTTCCATAAAATCAACAAAAAACACAAACCCTTATCCAAACTAATGAAAAGGCAGAGTATCCAAATTGACAAAATCAAAAATGAAAAGGGAAATCCAGAGACTCATCAGGCCATACTTCAAAAACCTGTACTACACAAAATTAGAAAATTTAAACGAAGTGGCAATTTTCTGGATAAGTACCACATACTAAAATTAAATTAAAACCCAATAAACAAATTAAATAGTCCTATAACACCTAGGGAAATAGAAACAGACAATCAAATTCTCACAACCAAAAAAAAAACCAAGGACCACATGGTTTCAGCGCCTAATTCTGCCAGAACTTCCAAAAAGAACTAATACCAATACTCCTCAAATCGTTTCACACAATAGAAACATTAGCAAACTGTTTTTTACGAGGCTACAATTACCCTGGTACTGAAACCACACAAAGCCACAACTAAGAGAATTACAGATCAGTCTTCCTCATGAACATTGATGCAAAATACTCAAAATATTGGCAAGCAATATTCAAGAACATATCAGAAAAATCACCCACCATGACCAAATAGGATTTATCCCAGAGATGCAGGTATGGTTCAACATACAAAATCCATCAATGTAATTTACCATATAAATAAACAAAGAAAAAAAACCATATGATCATCTCATTAGATGCTGAAAAAGCCTTTGACAAAATTCAACACCCCTTCATGATAAAGGTCTTGGAGACAGCAGGGATACAAGGAATATACCTAAACATAATATATATAGTACCACAACAGCCAACATCAAACTAAATGGAGAGAAACTCAAAGCAATCCCACTGAAATCAGGAACAAGACAAGGCTATCCACTTTCTCCATATCTATTTAATATAGTACTCAGAGTTCTAACTAGAGCAATAAGACAACAAAAGGAAATCAAAGGGATACAAATTGGAGTGGAAGAAGTCAAATTTTTGATATTGGCTAATGATACGGTAGTATACAACAGTGGTCCAAAAAATTCTACCAGGGAACTTCTACAGCTGATAAACACCTTCAGCAATATAGTAGGATATAAGATAACAAAAAAAAATCAGTATCCCTCCTATATATATAAATGATAATCAGGATGAGAAAGAAATCCGAGAAACACCACCCTTTACAATAGCCACAGATAACATAACATATCTTGGTAACTCTAAACAAACAAGTGAAAGACCTGTATGACAAGAACCTTAAGTATTTGATGAAAGAAATTTAAGAAGACATCAGAAAATGGAAAGATCTCCCATGTTCTTGGATAATGGGAGTCTTACCAAAAGCAGTCTACAGATTCAATGCAATACCCATCAAAATCCCAGCAAAATTCTTCACAGTTCTCGAAAGGATAATACTCAACTTCATATGGAAAACCAAAAAACCAGGATAGCCAAAACAATCCTGTACAATAAAGGAATTTCTGGAGGCATCAACATAGCTGACTTCAAACCCTATTATAAAGCTACAGTAATGAAAACAGCTTGGTATTGGCATAAAGACAGACAGGTGGGCCAATGGAATTGAATCAAAGACCCTGATATCAATTCACACACTGATGAACACCTGATTTTTGACAAAGAAGCTAAAATTATAAAATAGAAAAAAGAATGCTTCTCAACAAATGGTGTTGGCATAACTGGAGGTCAACATGTAGAAGAATGCAAATACATATCTGTCGACATGCACAAAACTCAAGTCCAAGTGGATCAAAGACCTCAACATAAAACACTGAACATTGTAAAAGAAAAAGTGGGAAATAGCCTTGACTGCACTGGCACAGTGCTACTTCATAACTATAACACCAGTAGCACAGACACTGAGAGAAACAATGAATAAACAGGACCTCCTGAAACTGAGAAGCTTTTGTAAAGCAAAGGACGTAGTCATCAAGAGAAAACAGTAGCCTATAGAAAGGGAAAAGATCTTTACCAACTACACATCTGACAGAGGACTGATCTCCAAAATATATAAAGAACTTAAGAGACTAGACATCAAAAGACCAAATAATCTAATAAAAAATGGGATACAGATCTAAACAGAATTCTCAACAGAACAATCTCAAATGGCTGAAAGACACTTAAGGAAATGCTTAGCATCCTTAGTCATCAGAGAAATGCAAATCAAAACAACTCTGAGATATCATCTGACATACCTGTCAGAATGGCCAATATCAAAAACTCTGATGACAGCATATGCTGGAGAGGATGTGGAATAAGGGGAACACTTCTCCATTGCTGGTGGGAGTGCAAACTTGTACAGCTGTTTTGGAAATCAGTATGGTGGTTTCTCAGAAAAGTGGGAATCAATCTACCTCAAGACCCAGCAATACTACTTTTGGGCATATACCCAAAGGATGCACACTCACACCACAAGGACATTTGCTCAACTATGTCCATAGCAACATTATTTATAACAGCCAGAACCTGGAAACAACCTAGATGCCCCTTGATTGAAGAATGGATAAGGAAAATGTGGTATATTTACACAATGGAGTATATTTACTCAGTGGTTAAAAAAAAATGACATCTTGAAATTTGCAGGCAAACGTAGGAACTAGAAAACACTGTCCTGAGTGAGGTAACCCAGACCCAGAAAGACAAATACAATATGTACTCCAGGGAGGAGGGTGGAAGTGGAGAGGGTAGGAGGAAAGGGGAGTGGGAAAATGTATAGCTCAACAACAACAACAAAATAAAAGTACCAGGAAGGGCTAAAATTAGGTATTTGACTAGCATCATGAGTCCCTGAATTTATCAACAGGGGCTCGGCTCCACCCTGTGTTTTAGAAGAATAGTGTGGAAAATCAGTTGCCCAGATGCTGCCCTTGGAGATTTTGATAAGCCAGCATGCTGGTCTACCCTATGAACCAGCCAGGGTATAGAATCTGAGCAGCCTTCCCGTATGTGGAAATCTGACTGCTGTACTTAGACAGCAAGAGTTTTGTTGTTGTTGTTGTTGTTTTTGAGACAGGGTTTCTCTGTGTAACATGTCTGGCTGTCCTGGATCTCACTCTACAGACCAGAGTAACCTCGAACTCACAGAGACCTGCCTACCTCTGCCCCCGAGTGCTAGTATTAAAGATATGTGCCACCACCACCCAATTTAGGCAGCAAGTTTTAGTCCTACCCTGTAACTAGATCAGTTGCCTAGATGACATGGAATTTTGCTATAAGCATCAGCAGTTGGTGGAAATTCAGCCCTTTGCACCTGGGTTCCAGGAACAGTAGGAGTTCGGGGAGATGGAGAGACTTGCAGAGAAAGGATGTAGTACCAAGCCCGAATATGGCCCACGTCAAAGAAACCCTCCTTTGCATCCCTCAACACTTGGTATCTATTGAGCATTAGCTTAGCTATTCAGTGGGCAGATGGATACATTGTGAATCAATTGGAAGTTTAAGTACTTTTTATATAGCTCATAACAAAAATATTCATTGCTCACACTCAACTAGCTTTTAGATTGCAACCTATTTGTAATTTGCTTTGTTTACTTTTCCAATAAGCATTTTAAGTTGCTTGGCTTTCAAATAATCATTGTAATTTAAATGAACATTATAATAGGGCCAACCAGGGCCAATGAAAGTAATAGACGAAGGAGGGACATGAAATCCTTGTCCTAAGAATGAGCCCTCTTGCCAAGGCCTGAGACATTCCAAGAGATTCTCATTCTCTCAGGATCTGGGTTCAAGCAGAAAGTCCAGTTAGTGTAGACAGTTTTCTTTCATGTAAATTTAACTGGTAAAATTGGATGGAAATGTGATTTGTCTGTGCATTTTGGGGGGCTTGGGTGTATGCCGGGGAGAGCTTTCTTGACTGTACTTTTGTTTTGTTTTGCAGTGTGGCACTCCTGGCATTTGCATCGCATCCCACAGGTAAAGAACGCTAGTGTTTGCTTATAACTCCTGTCCACCCACTGAGCCTGCTTGTATCTCTTAAGAGATTGTGTATCAGAATGTGAGGATTGAGTGGCTCATAGATTTGAAGCTACCTGTAACCCAGTTGGTGGGAGTCAGTGTAGCTCAGTGGTAGAACACATCCATCCCTAGCAGGTATGAGACTTGGTGGATCCCAGCACTGCAAAACACGAAGACAAAAATCCATTGTGTATTTATTGCCCACCAATTTATTCTTATCCCAATTAAAAAAATTAGAGAAGTGATTGAGTCCATTAATCCAAAGTTCATTTGAGCTTTGAAATTTTTTAGTGAGCCTACAAAACAATGACTCTATTGTGACATTTTCATATGTGTGTATTGTGGGCCTTTCCTCATGATCCCCCCTGCTACTGCCCCTTGTCCTCCCTGTGTCACTTCCACTGTCTCTTCTTCCCCAAATAGTCTTCCTCCTTCATGCTTCATGCCATGAATGTGGGTTTATAGAGTTTAAGACTGGAGTCTGCAAATGAGAAAAAATGTGATCCTTATCTTTCTGTGACTGCCTTGTTTTCTTTAATGTGATGATCTGTAGTTATGTCCATTTGACATAATATTTTCCTTTATGGCTGAATAAAACGTGTGTGTGTGTGTGTGTGTGTGTGTGTGTGTGTGTGTGTGTGAGTAAGAGTGTAAAAGAGAGGGAGGAAGGCACAGAGAAAGGGGGAGGGAAGGAGGGAGGAAGGGAAAGAGAGAGAAAGGGATGAGGGAAAGAGGGAAGGAGGGAGGGAGAAAGAGTAAAGACTGATTTGTCACTTGTTCTAAGAGCACTTCCCTGGCTATCCAGAGCTGCTCTTCTGTGCTAATTTTAAAGTATTTGGTGAGGAACTGGAGGGAAGGCTCAGCAGTTGAGAGCACTGGCTGCTTTTCAGAGGTCCTGACTTCAGTTCCCAGCAACTGCATGGTGGCTCACAACCACCTGCAATGGGATCTGACGCCCTCTACTGGAATAAAGGCATACGTGCAGACAGAACACTCATACATAGAATAAATGAATCAATCTTTTTAAAAAAGTATTTGGTGAAACAGTTCCAATTCATTCTGTTTCTAGTTAATATCATTTAAAATGTTCCTTCTTTATTTTTTGTTTATATATGTGTGTGTGTTTGTGTCTATATGTGTGTGTTTATGTATGTATGCATGCATGTATGTATTTTTCAATATGCATGTGGAAGTCAGAGAACATGTTCAGCAGCAGTTGGTTTCCAACATGTAAGTTCTAAGGATCAAACTCAGATAGCCAGACTTGGTTGGAAGTGCTTTTGCCATAGAGTCCATCCTGATGGCCCTGCCAACATCATTTTAATTATAGTTGCCACCCAGTCTTTTAAATGCTGCAGGAAAGAGTTGGTTTTCAAAGTATTTTTACTTTGTTGTTGCCTTGGTTACTCTGAGGTTGGTTTTTTCAGATTTAGGAATTTCCCCAAATGGTATGTTCTGCCTTGCAATTTTATTTATTTTTTAGTTTAAAAGGTTTTGAAGTACTATTGGTATGTTTTCTGTTGCTAGTAACACAAAACTGCAGACTGAGTAAATTATCTTTTCAGAAGAGGCTTATTTTGGTCCCTGGTTCTGGTGCAGGTTCACAGGGTCACTATCGGTGAGGTGAGCCTTTCTCATTAGGTTACTAGGGTTTCTAGGGTCAGTGTCTGGGCCCTAGCAGCCCAGGAGGCTGGGCTTTGCCCCCAGTCAGTGGCTGAATTAAGGAGATAAGTAATAGTGAAAAGCTAGAAAGATTTAATTGGTGTAACCATATTGGGAAGAGGAACAAATAAAGAGGTTCAGTAAGCCTCCAACCCACATGTGATAAGAAATTATATCAAAGTGATATCACTTTAGAATATCTTCATTTCAGCCGGGCAGTGGAGTTGCACACTTTTAATCCTAGCACTCGTGAGGCAGAGGCAGGGAGATCTCTGTGAGTTTAAAGCCAGCCTGGTCTACAAAGTGAGTTCTAGAACAGCCAGGACTACACAGAGAAACCCGTCTTGAAAAAAAAATTAAAAAGGAAGAAAGGAAATAAATAAGTAAACAACTATATCAATAAGTCGATCAGTGTTAAATTGTCATTGGGTGGCAGCCTCACCCCTTTTACCTCATTTAATCATAATTCATCTCCCAAAGATCCCCCTTCTCATCACCTCTTTTTTTTAAACCCCCCATTTTACTTGTTTGTCCTTCAGCTAAGAGATTGTGCATTTAAGTATGTCAAACAACCATCAGAGCTGGAAGGCATTTCAATCATAATCCCAGGTGCTCCCCAAATTTGCAAATGAGGGAGTTGAAGCTTAGAGGAGTTCAGTGCCATGACCCAATGAAGACAAGTCACTGTGTAGGAGGGGGAATCTGGAGTTGATGGCACCAACTTTTTCATGCCTGCTTCCCTAAGGTTCCCTATGTTATTATGAAGTGTTCTGACAAGTGAATGCATCTCTGGGATACTTGAATTTGCCTTCTGCACTGCTTTGGTCTTGGTGTTTTACCCACCAGCTTTCAAACATGGATGCTGGTGACAGTTCTTCTGTTCTGGCCACCTGAGTTACTGCTATATTTTCAGGTCAATACAACATTACTTCAGATGGATTGCTGCTGTCTGGGTCAGCAGCCTGAGGTATAGAATGGCTTGCACAGAAGAACTATCTTAAATGAACATCAGTTTCTCTTTTCAGGGTATGCAAATGCTCTGTCATTAGATAGTAGTGATGGCTACATAGCTGTGGCTATATTGAACCTAGAAAGTACACATTTTAAAGGACAAATTTTATTGTATGACTTACATCTCAATCAGAAAATACGATGGAGACAAAAAAGAAAACTCTAATTTGAGAGGTAATTTGAAGTGTGGTTACACTGGAAGAGGAATAATTATCCTTCAAATTATGTTTGTGGGGGGCCTGGAGGTATAGACATTTGCTTGTTAGCATGTATGAGCTTTGGGGTTCAATCCCTAGGATGAGAGAGAGAGAGAGAGAGAGAGAGAGAGAGAGAGAGAGAGAGAGAGAATGTGTGTGTGTGTGTGTGTGTGTGTGTTTCTGTCTGTCTGTCTCTCTGTCTGTCTGTCTGTTTACCACCACTCCTGTCCCTCATGCTGGCTTTCCATTGTTCTTCGGGCTTTAAACCATTGCATGGTAATGATGGTTGGTCTAGATTAGTGTCTCGGAGTTGTAGAGACCAGTGTGACATCTGTAAGCTTGTCATACAAGAGGAGTCCATCTGTAACAAAGTTATTGGTTAATAACTCTGAAGTTATTGAAGAGGTGAGGTATAGGAAATTGAGTTCACGAGAAGGATTTTTGCTGAGCTAATGCTTGGCTCTGCCTCTTATGTCAACAGCAAGGATAGCCTTGATCTTTCTTGCTACAAACAGCTGAGGCTCCCTAGGAAATGAATGTTCCCAAATTTCCAAAGAGTGTCATAGTAGGGCTTCTGCAAAACTGCTGACAAAGGTAGGTGTGGCAGCATCGCAGAGGAAGCAGGGTCCTGTGTGTGCTAGAAGTAAGTCCACCATCTAATTCTTGAGCAGGGACAATGTAAACCACACTGCCCCCCTTGTATATAGAGTAATATAAAGGTGTCTTGTTTTTCTTTTGTATGTATATATGCATGTATGTGTGCATACTCATGCATGCTAATGTGTGTGGGGATGTGCACATGTGTGAGTATGTGAATGAAGGGCAGGCCAAACTTGGGTGTCCTTTCTCAGGACATGATCCATGTTGTTCTTTTGAGACAGGTTCCCTCACTTTTATCTGGGACTCACTGTTTCAACCAGGCTAGCTGGCAGGCAGCAAGCCTCAAAGAGTGGCATGTTTCTGCTTCTCCAGTCCTAGGATTACAAACACCTGCCACCATGCCTGCATTGTTCTAGATGGGTGCTTGTGTGGCAAGTGCTTTGCTGACTGAGCCATCTTCTTAGCTACAAGCTTTATTCTTTTCATAAAAGTGTCCTGTCTGGCTTGGTGGTGGTGGTGGTGCACGCCTTTAATCCCAGCACTGGGGAGGCAGACACAGGCAGATATCTGAGCTCAAGCTTAGCCCTGACCCAGCTCGAATCCCAGGACATCCAGGGCTACACAGAGAAATCCTGTCTCGAAAAGCAAAAGAAAAAAAAAGGTGCTGTGTGTGTGCTAGCTAGTATTGTGTTTGTCACTTTCCTAGAATGTTTGCAAATTGTGTGTCAGGGTGCCTTAAGAATAATGTGTCTGCTTCCTTTCTCCTGTCTACGGAGTTCAACCCTTCATAGCAATGATGTTTTCCCTTGATTACCTAGTGAATTGAGGATCTCTTAGAGATAAAACTCTTGACTAGAGTAATAAAGCTCCTTAAGAAATGCAAGTAGGAACCTTACCAAGCTGAATAGCCTTGGCCTTTGGGAACCCTCAGGGCTGCACAGCTGTGGTCTGTATAAGTTGTACCCTGTCCTCAGAACGGCACAGTACGTAATATCTGCAGCCACAGCAACAGCCCATCACTTCACAGTCCCTCAGAGTGACTCAAAGTCACTTCAAAGTGATCACTTTTATTTCTTAGAGGAGATGACCAAGACATTAAGATAGGACTTTGGTGGGAAAAAGGACAGTTCAGTGTATTAGTTTCTTCTCCTGGTTTTGTGACAAAGTACTCTGACAAAAGCAACCTAAGGAAGGAAGGATATTGCCCATCACTGGGCAGAAGTGACAGGAGCTAGCCACATCCCATATGCAGTCAGGGAGAAGGGAGCAATGAATAACTGTTGCAGAATGGTCCCACCTACATTCATGGTCCTTCCCATCTCAATACAACCAACCAGTCTCTATCCAGCATGCCAGAGGCCTTTCCCAGGTAATTCCAGGCTCTATCAAGTTGACAATTAACACTAACATCACATTCAGAAAGTACACTATTCCTTGGGAGTCAATTCTGTTAACTTTAAATTGATCCTAATGGTGTTTTCTGTCTACCATGACCACAGCAACTCTTATAAAAGAAAACATTCAGTTGGGGCTGGCTTACAGTTCAGAGGTTTAGTACCTTATCATCATGGTGGGAAGCATGGAAGCACACAGGCGGACATGTGCTGGAGAAGTAATTGAGAGTTCTATTTCCAGATTGATAGGCAGCATGAAGAGAGAGACACTGGGCCTGGCTTGGGCTTCTGGAATGCCAACCCCCGGTGACACACTTCCTCTAACAAGACTATATATCCCAATAGTGCCAGTCCATATGAGCCTATGAGGACCATTTTCTTTCAAACTACATTTTCTAATGATTGTTTGTGCTAATTTTAAAGTTCAGAAGATAAAACAGCTTAATAGACTTGTTGGGTCTTAGAATAGATGAGTATTTAACTAAAAAAGTACCAGTATCACAGTGTTTGTACCATTTACTGTTTCACCCAGTACAACATGACCAAACTTTGCTATGTCAGTCTGACTTGATCTAGTGGGTGAGGGTCTCCTCAAGAGTTCTTCCTGAGCTTCCCTCTCCCTCATTTCAGAGTGGCTGAAGGATGAGTGTCCCTGTAACTGCCTCCTTGGGTGCATGGGATCAGGCAGATAGTTTGCCTACCCTGAACATGGTTTATTTGGGGGCTGGGGAGATGGAGCCAATCTGTTCATCTAGCCTTTTTACCTCACAAGTTGCTGAGAGGGTTCCAGAATCTTAGAACTATAATTGAGAGTAGAGAATTCTCCCCATGTTTAGAAGTTTGCACTTTATATTCTTATGGAGTCATCTGCTGTGTTATTCATATGCTGTGGTATTCAAAGCACCCAGAGGAACAGGCAGAACTAAGGAATATGAGCCACCAATGGCCTTGGTGCAGGACCTTGGCTCGTGGATGCCATTGTTGAAGTAAAGCAGCAATGCTAGCCACTTTTTAGAGCACCCCCCCATTCTCTGCCAGTTCTAAGGATTAAGATGGGGAGAGGGGGTTTCCCTCGTGCTTCACTTCACATTAAGTGTAGCAAGGCTTTCTCCTTTACTGTTGCAGTTTTGTGCTCGGTAACTTGAGAGAAGTGTGGTTGCTGTCCTTTCCTCAGTGAAATGCCAGCTGGAGCTGGTCATGTGCATACTCAGACTTGATTAGAGAAGCCTCCCATGGCTGCATCAGTCAGAAGTCAACCTCCACCCCCTTATTTGATGCCTGTGCCATGCAGCTCAGCACACAATAGCATGAGTGTTTTTTTTGTGTGAACATCTTGTTTTTTTTAATTTTAAAAAGATGTTTACTATTTTATGTGTATGTGCCCAAGTTTATGTATGTGTACCACATGGATGCATGTACCTACAGAGGCTGGAAGAAGGCACTGTACACCCTGAACTAGAGTTACAGGGGTTGTGAGCTTCCTGATGTCAGTGCTGGGAACCAAAGCTGCTGATCCAGCTTTAGCTCCCAGCATCTCCACATACTCTTTAGGCTCCTGGATTGAGCACTGTGGGGATTGGACAAGTTATAGGCTGTAGCCTCCTTGCACTGTTTGTAGCAGTGTTACAGACCTTTGCTGTTTAAGGGCAGATAGGCTCCCCTCTCTATTTAAAAACCTCCCCTTTGCCAGATGTGATGGCACATGCCTTTAGTCCTGGAACTAGGGAGGTGGAGGCAGGTGGATTTTTGTGAGTTTGAGGCTAGCCTAGTCTACATAGCCCTGACGGTCCCAGAACACACTCTCTCTCTCTCTCTCTCTCTCTCTCTCTCTCTCTCTCTCTCTCTCTGTGTGTGTGTGTGTCTTGTGCTTTTTCTTTGTTTTTGTTGTTGTTCTTGTTTGCTTGTTTGTTTTCTAGAGAGAAAGAAATGGGGTCGATGAGTGGGGAGATGGGGGGGAATCTGGGAGGAGATGAGGGAGGGAAAATCATGATCAGAATATATTGTATAAAAAAACTAAAATGAAAAAAATTGCTTTAGTAAGAGGCAGATTGAAGGCACCAAAAGTGAAGCATTTGGAATCAGCTGGAAATGAAGGGTTACATAGTCAAGTCTAGGATGTTCCTGCCCTACCAAGAAGCACCCCATCTTACAGATACCCTTCTTTCAGTAGTGTTCGCTAAGGCGTCTTTGTGATGTGCCTTAGAGTGGTGACAGCGGTGTGTGAGATGGGCTCCATGCTTTCCAAGGATCTGATGGAAGAAGGTGCTGGGGCAGGTGAAGTGTGAAGGCAAGCAGATGCTCTGTAGAAACATGACAGTTCTAAGAAATGACTTAAGGATAAAGGCAGGCTAGTATTTTATCCTACTCCTTTTTGTTTGTTTGTTTCTCTCCCTCACAAGAGTGGTTCTTGTCATGTGGGTAGTGATTATCCTCTAGTTGAAAAGTTCTTAGGACTGTTATTTGTTCTATGTTCCCCTCCCCCTCATCTCCCCCTGACCATCCCTCTTGTTCTTTAGACTCACTTCCAAAGCCTGGGCTAAGCTATAAATATTACCCGTGTACTCTCACTGGCTTACCCAGCTGGAACATTTATGATAAAAGATGGGATGGCAAGAGGAGGCACATCCAGAGGAGTCTCAAGATCATGAATTTAATTGATCAAACTCTTTGTCATTTCTCATGATTCCATGACTAAACTGCAGTTCCTCTCGAACTGGGAGATTGGGCAAAGGCCAAGAGCCAGCAGCTGCAGAAGGCACATAACAGAGTCTCCACACTGTCCCAGGCACACGCCTGAGAAGGAGCTTCATCCTCTCTTGCCGTCCACATCCCAGGGTTACCTTGGTTGTCATTTCTCTGCAGAAAAGAACCTCAGAATGTGCCATGTCCACTAAAGTTCTGGAACTGGTGGATAAAGGCAGCCTCTTTCCTTATACTGTCCCTGTGTGGGGCACTGAAGCTGAAGGAAAGCCCTAAGGCCTGCACATTCCGCTGCACACTTCAACAGTTACGGTTTTAGCTTTGTCTCTTCTCTGAGCTGCAGTTGGAGTGGGGTACAGAACCTCTCAGGGTTGCTACAAGGAGTAAGAGCTGAAGTTACCACACTTCACGAAGGACTTTGCATAAAGCATGCTCTCACTGAATGCCATCTTATTCTTGGTAGAAGGCAGCAGCAAAATCTCAGAGATTCTGGAGAGCTGAGACAGTACTAACGTGGGTTCCAATTGGAAGGTAGAGACATTCAGTGCAATAGTGACCTAAAGACAGCGAGAACCTTTTGGGCTGCATGAAAACAAAATCCCTTGGAACTCTTTTATTTAGACACACATGTGCATAAGTGAAGGTTGGTCTCAACTTTAAAACATCCAAACTGTTAGAGATACAGAATTTGGAACTTTCAATTGAATCCTTTGAGATCACTTAGGGGGCTCACTGAACCTTGTTTAAAAATGTGTTTGTGCATACATGCATACATGTTTATGCATGTGCCTGCTGATGGAACCCAGGGTCCCGAGTGTGCTAGGCAAACACTCTACCACTGAGCTGTCTATGAAATACTTGACACACTGGTATGAGTGGTGAAGGAATTAAGTGCCCACAGCTCCACCACACAGCTCTTCAGCAAGGAATACTGGAATGTCAGCCCAGTCTCTGAGGCTGCCCAGAACAGACCCCGACCAAAGCCCAGGCCATCAGAGAGCCTGGCTCCTGCAGTGTCAGAAATTCCAGATTTGGAAGGATTAAGCTGTCTATTGTGGAAATGCCTAATTCTGTTTCTCAGGGACATGTTTGGAAGGCTTTCTGCTTTTTTAATCTTCTGACTTTTTTGTGACTAAGTTCAAATTCCAGAGAGAAGCAGCCAATATGTGTGATTATTTCCTCTTGCACTAAAAGTGGAACTAAAAGAATGAACTTACTTCATGAGAAATAAATGTACCCTTTGAACCTTAAACTGAGTGTGCACAGTCACTCTGGCCCCTGTGCTGTTTGTGCTGTAATTAAACACTAACATGAAAAAAGATGTCAGGCCAATGCATTCATCATCTTTTTTTTAAAACATAAAACCAAGAAGAAGGAGAAGGGAGAAGAAGGAAGAGGAGGAGGAGGGGGAGGAGGAAGAGGAGGAGGAGGAGGAGGAGGAGGGGGAGGAGGAAGAGGAGGAGGAGGAGGAGGAGGAGAGGGAGGAGGAGGAAGAAGAGGAAGAGGAGGAAGAGAAGGAAGAAGAAGAAACAGTAGTAGTCGTAGTAGTAGTGAGTCTTCAAAAAGACTTCTCTAATGCTGTCCCTGTGTGGGGCACTGAAGCTGAGGGAAAGCCCTAAGGCCTGGCATTCCGCTCCACACTTCAGCAGTTGTAGATTTAGCTTTGTCTCTTCTCTGAGCTGCGGTTAGAGTGGGGTACAGAACCTCTCAGGGTTGCTGCAAGGAGTAAGAGCTGAAGTCACCACACTTCACGTAGGACTTTGCACAAAGCATGCTCTCGCTGAATGGCCTCTGCTGTCCCCTTATTCTTAGGAGACCGTAGCTGATTCTTAGGGACACGAGAGTTGGAGGGCTGAAGGCACTGGGCAGAAGACATTGTCTTCCTTATGTCTCCTGAAGTAGCTGGGTGCAGGGAGCTGAGGGAGCTGTGTGGACCATTGTCTCACCATTGCTCTGCTCCTTAGGTGACCTCTTCAGTGTCCTGGACTTTCCATTCCTGTATTTCTACAGATTCCACGGCAGCTGCTGTGCCAGGTAACTTTGAGCCACGTCATATGTTTTCTGTGCCATTAGCTGTATCTTCATCTCTATGCAGCCCAGCATAATTATGGTGAACCAAGTGAGTTGTAGAAGCAAGGAGGGGATATTCTGGGAGCAGTTTCTGTCTCTAGCAGGTCATTACTGAACACTCACACAAAATCACTGCCAGCCTGAATCCAGCAGACCCTGGCCTGTTGTGATGCTCAGCCAGGGCCAGGGCTGTGGTTTTTCATGCTTGCCCTGCGTCCCCATCTTTTCCCCTCCACAGTCACCACACAGAACTTCAGTGTATAAAACTAACGGATCGACTCAGTGCAAGGGATGGTGTGTCCTCTCCCTTACGATCTTGTCTTCCCTTTTGCTGCCGAAGGTGACCTGCAAAACCTTCTGTGGAACTCTAAGACTCAGAAGTGCACCGTAGCATTGGCAACTAGTGGATATCTAGACACCAAGGTGGCTATTAGTATCTGGCCCTGCAAGGACTTGGGGCTGAAAACCAATCAGATGAGTACAGCCAGATGCACAGAGCTCCACTGTCATCCTGCCCAACCATTTCTAGACAGCGTCCTGAGTGGTGAGAGGTGGCAGGCTCTGGGGACAACCTCAGTGCCATGGTGGAGAGAGGAGACCTGGGCCAACCCCAGGATTGGTGGTTGCTAGGTTGCTGGTTGTTTAGCCTCTGGGCAGATTATCCAGTCCTCTCAGATTTTTGTTTTTCCATCTGTAGCATAGAACAGAAACACCACTGTTGGTGTGATTCAAATATGTGTAAGTTCCTGAGCATTATACCTGGCTCAGAAAAAGGTGGCCATTATTAATTCCTGCTCAGGTCAACTGTAAGAAAAATCTCAAAAACTGTTGATGTTCAATCCTGGTTCTGTCAAGGAATCCTTTTTTTTTAAATTTATTTATTAGTTCTAGTTAGGGAACAAGCTTGTTTCACATGTAAGTCCCTTCTCCCTCTCCCTCCCCTCACCCCCAACCATCCGGCCAGAGTGTACCCCTTCACGTGGGATGGGCTCTCAAAGTCCCTTCTTGCACCAGGGAAAAATACTAATCCACCACCAGAGGCTCCCTGGAGTACAGATGTTTAAAGGAATCTTAAGCAGGATTTTAGCTTATCTTTACTTGTCTAGGGATAATGACTATATTTGTCTTACAGGCTTTTTATGCTAATTAACACAGGGGTATACTTTGAACAGTGCCCATACATAGCAAATACTCAGTAAGTAGTATTGTCATTAGTTAGGAAAAAACAAACAAACAAACAAAACAAAACAAAACAAAACTATCAACCATGAATAAAAGCCAGACCATCCATTCCCACATAGAAAATGGTGCTCATGGAACAATCTTTGCAGATAGATAAAAAGTTGAGACGTAGAGGCTAGAGAGTTGGCTCAGCAATTAAGAGTATTTGTTGCAGTGGTGGTTATGTAGGAGAAACTCAAAGTCATGGAATAGACGACACAGGATTTGCTTATAGATCTGCTTAGGAGACATTAAACCACACAATGTAGAATCTAGCTAAAGGGGTGCTGCCCCTGAAGACAGCATAGTTCTGCCAGGTGGGCAAGGTGACACCAGGTAACAACTACTCAGAAAAATACACAACTGGTGTACTTAAATAGTTCTGGGGCTCTTTGCTATGTAAATGTCCCATCTGTTCAAGTGGCCAGAACTTGCAGTCCCCTGTGTGAGCTTAAATTGTTCAATGTGTAACCTGGGGCTGGGACCTATAAGAGATTTGAGGATGACATCATATGTAAATGTATAAGCCTAAAATGCATGTTAGCCAAAACCTCTATTCAAGACTGGCTCTTCCTTGAGTGGTAGCCACAGCCGTGTGTGTGTGTGTGTGTGTGAAGATTTTTTCTCTCCTAATTTCTAAGTGAGCAATTTTCTCTGGGAAGGCATATTAATTCTATAACAGTGGCAGTATACAGTAGATGAGGTGTTTGCCTCATGAAGCAGAGAAGGGAGATAAGAAGGGAAGGCTGGGGGCAATGCACATGCTTCAGAGGTACCTCCAGGGATACATTTCTTCTAACCAGGTCCCATCTCCTGATGCTTCCACACAAATATGATGGAGGTTGTTCGATGCTTACAAATTAGACGTTGACTGATAAACTGAGCGTGACGGCATAGCCCTTGCCTGTAGTCACAGCCCTTGGGGAGAAGGGGTGGGAGGGTTGAGAGCTCTAGGCCAGCATGGCTGAGCCTGGCTCAAGGCTGGAGGTGGATGGGGAGGAAGAAGCTGGCTGTAGCTGAAGGAAGGCAGCCTCACTAATCAAAGGGTGTTTTCTCCTTTCAGCGGAGCTTTAGGCTTCTTTCTCATGCTCAGCAGAGTAAAGCTGAAAAGCATTCTGGCCCCAGGGCAGTGTGCAGCCTGGATTTTCTTTGCTAAGGTAAGAGAGGGGCTGTAGGGGTGGGAAGATCTACCTCTGTGTGGCCAGCCTTCTCAGCCTGGGTTATGTCAAATGGGATCTTTAAGAAGCCATTTTTAGTGACTGCGCCTGGGGACAATTTCTGAGACCTTTCACCTATTTTATCAGGAAGACACCATCATATTCCTAAAAGGTGCTAGAGAAAACTGACAAATGGCCAGATGGAGACACTTCCGTGAGCCTTCAAGACAAGGGCTGTTACAAGAAGAGCTTTTGTCTATCAGGGTCAGGGCTGACTGATGTGTAAGAGAGAGAGAGGCGGGTGGGCGGAGAAGGCTCAGGAGCTGAAAGGCAGCAGTGGGAAGCAGCACCATGGTAACAGAAATGCTTTCAGGACTCTTTCTTCCAGGGCCTTCCTTTCCCCTCACATCTGAGGCAGTCAAGGTGCAGGGGCCTTGGACCTGCAGCTGAGGGGTGGGATTCCATCTGATGAAGTTAGCTGAGCTTCTGTCCTCGTCATCTCTAGTTTTTCAGCCATCTTCTCTGAAAATGAGATTGCACAGTGGTGATGTCACCTACACGGTCCACCTTTAGTAGTATTGTTCTTGGTAGAATGTGGAGACTGGCTGAGGTGTTAGGTGAGAGGGGGAGGAAGTTGACAGTCTCCCAAACAAGCAGAAAGCTGGGAAAATATTGTCCAAAGTCTCCATTTCCATGCTCCCAAAATTGACGAAAAGCACACTAGAAACCAGAAGTATTTGTTCTTGGTAGGAACAGAGTGAATTCACGGTGTTCTTGCCTGCCGCTGCCCCATTCCCTCCTTTCAGCTGTCCCTGTGATGGGGAAGCCAGAGCAGGCTGTGAGGAGCCATGAAAATGAGCTTTGCTGCTTCTAGAAGTCTCTCCCTCTGTTTGGGGCATTGTTCATTCAAGCGGCCATTTTGGTCAGAAGTGAACAAGAGAAGCCAGTAGTTCGCTCTCTTGAGTGTATGGGCCTCACTGGAAGTCAGCTGTGGACAGTGGTCTTGTTGCTCACCTAAGTAGTTTTGGAGCTTTTTTTGCCCTCCGTATACTTCACATTGAATGCCTTCTGTGTCTAGGAACACACAAGAGGTGGAACAGACTTAAACATACTCACGTGTCCCTGGCTAGTGGAGCCTGCTTGCACACACAAAAGATCCAGAGGAAAGTACAACCCAAGGCAGATGTGAAAACTGCTGAGGTTCAGATGTCCTCTCCAGCCATGTAGAAGCAGAGACAAATAAGATTTTCTGGCTTGTGGTATTTGAACACAAACCTCCATCTGGTCCTTGCCAGGACACCCAGTTACACATGCATGAAGAAGAAGAACAAATATTAGTAAAGACATCAGCACTGCACCTTTCATGAAAGACAGATTTTACACTTGGTTTAGGAAGATCACTGAACGAGCAAAACAAACAACCACAATAAGATGTGTGGGAGAAGTCAGAACCTGGAGTTGCTACCACATGTTCTCTAAAAAGCACAGCACTCAACCAAAAGTTATAGGCATTTAGAGAAGCAGATTGTGGCCTATGTGCAAGAAAAGGAAAGTCCGTGGGAACTGGCTCTGGGTATCTGGCCCGGAACATTGCTGAGCCTCCATCAAGACACTGTGGGGAACTACAGCTATGTAAAGATCAGGAAAGGCTCCATGAATTCAGAATGTCAGTCAGAGAGAACTAGGAAATAACCAGTAGTTATTTCCAGGCCAGATTGAAGATATAGCTGAAATGAGATTTTTACTGAGGGATTCAACAGATTTTAGGTGGCAGAAAAAGTGAACTCTAAGAGGGAGAAGAAGGCATCATTTTAAAAAATGTAAATAACACTCCAGGGACCTGTGAGATATCATACATATCAACATATATGTGTGTGTATATATTCATATATATGTGTGTGTGTACATATGTATATATATGTGTGTGTACATATGTACACACACATATATAAGTAGTCTTGGAAGAGGAAGAGCCAGGGATATAAAAATATTTAAATAAATAATGGATGAAACTTCCAGATTTTATGAAGGACATTAAAATTCATTAAGCCCTAAAAACAAACAAAAGCAGAACCTTATCTGAACAAAGCCTTTCATGAAGTCCTGAGCTGTTTTCAAAGGGCCTGCATACATGTGTCTCATAGTTTATGAGGGCTCTGGCTCTGTTCATCCTCAAAGCCAGCCTACATGTATCCCTGATTCAAGGTCTCTTCTGGAAACTGTGTAGTTCAGTCTTCCCTCTTAAAATTACAATCTAACCAGGCAGTGGTGGTGCATGCCTTTAATCCCAGCTCTCAGGAAGCAGAGACAGGAGCATCTCTGTGAGTTCAAGGCCAAACCACTTTACAGAGCAAGTTCCAGGACCGGCTCTAAAGCCACAGAGAAACCCCGTTTTGAAAAACCAAAATAAATAAAAATAAAAGTACAATCTGACAACCTCTGTCTTTTGAATGGAGAATTTTTGAAAAGATTATGTGTTTGAGTGTTTTGCATGTAAAATATGTATATGTACCACATTCATTCCTGGTGCCCACAAAGGTCAGTCTCTTCATAGATGGAAAAGCAAGGATTCTATGTATGTGGTAGAATGCTACTGAACCACAACAGCTGTTAATGTATGCTATAATGCAGATGACTCTTAGAAACCTTCTGCTAAGTGGAAGAACCTAGTACAAAGTAATGCATATATTATCCCATCTGTTAAATGTCCAGAAAAGGTGAATTTAGACAGACAGAATTGATGGTTTTTCATGGGGCAGAAATTTATCACATATAGGTTTAAAGAAGTTGTGGTTTTGTAGGCTGGAAAAGAGCTAAAGCTAGATTGTAGTGATGATTGCAGAATCACTCAGTAACTTACTGAATTTGTTAAACATCATCACATTGGGGCTGGAGAGATGGCTTGGTGGTTAAGAGAACTGGCTGTTCTTCCAGAGGACCCAGGTTCAATTTCCAGCACCCACATGGAAGCTCACACTGTCTGTAATTCCAGTTCCAGGGGACCTGACACCTTCACACAGACATACATACAGGCAAAACACTGATGTGCATAAATAAATAGATAAATCTTAAAAAACTATTTAAAAATCATTACATTAAAAAAAATCACATCTTATATTTCAGTGGCTGAGTTTCATGGCTTATAACCATCCCTAAGGGCTGTAAAACCTGCACTCATTCTGTCCTTTACAATTTGATAGAGTTTTGTGTATGATTTTGTCTATTTGATTACTGGTCACTGAGTGTCTCCTTTGCTATTTTCCCCGAAATCCTTAGGGAGGGGGGCAATTTTTAATTAGTTCTTGTGGTTTCGTGTTAATCCTTAAACAGTAAAGGATAGCTCTGTGGTGCTAGAGGAGAATTTGGATTTCTCAAAAACGTTGTAAACCCAGGCAGGGAGGTCATTCAAGGGCTGAGATGCCTTCTTCCTGGCTCCAAAATAGTATTCTTTCATAGCCATTGTTCAAGGGGTTGCCATCATTTGCATGTTCTCTGCTTGTTTTTTTTGTGGGGGGCAGAAGGTCTCACTGTGTACCTCTAACTGGCCTGGAACTCATTGTGTAGACAGGCTGGCCTCAGACTCAAGACTAGCCTGCCTCTGTTCTTGAGTGTTGGCATTAAGGGTATCACCACCATGCCTGGCTTTGTTATGTTTCTTTCATGATGATTATTTTTCTCTCTTGAAATCTGAGAAATACTTTAAGAGTCAGCAAGCATTATAGTGGTTAGCAACCTTTGGAGAAGGAAACATCTCTTCTAGGTAAATTTCAGCATGTGAAATCTAATACATTGGCAAAATCGTGAGCTCTCTTCTCACTGGGGTACCAAGGAGTGGATTCAAGAGAACAGCACTGATGTGTGTGGGTGTGTAAGCAGGGTATAGCCTGAGTTTGCTCTTAGTGGGGTCTTCCAGCAGATTTGAACCCTGTTGGAGAATTCTTCCCAGATTGGGTAATGCCTTATCTCATGCTTTTCATTTCAAACTGCTTGGGTTCTCAGAGTCATTGGATAGAAGCAACTGAGGTTGGAGTGAGTTTATGGAGATGACAAGCCAGGACAGGTGAGGCATCCCAGACAGTCGCAGCAGCTCTCACTGTCCTTTCAAAGCCTGCTCTGTATAACACTGGGCTCCTCATAAGCTAATGCAGTTGTCATCAGCATTCTTGTCCTGAAGACAGCTGCAGGTCATAAAGCCAGGTCTGTCCTTTTAATGGCCCTTGGAAAATACTTTTTCTGATAGATCTTTTGATTCCATTTACGGTTTTTGTTTGTTTGCTTGGCTTGTTTTTGTTTCTGTTTTGTTATTGCTAGGGATTGATCCCAGAGTCTTAAACATACAAGGCAAGAGCTCTATCGTTGAACTAAACTCTTTTGTTGTTCTTGTTTTTCAAGACAGGGTTTCTCTGTGTAGCCCTCACTGTCAACAAACTCACAGAGATCTGCCTGCTTTCTCCTCCCAAGTGCTGGGATTAAAGGTGATTTTTTTTAAAGCATGTGTGATTCAGATATCTTCTTGTGTATGTGCACACTTATGCATGGGCCTTGGTGCACATGTGGAAGCCAGAGGACAACTTGTGGGAGTCGATTCTTCCCTGTCACCATGTTGGTCTCGGGATTGACTGAGTTCACCAGGCTTCATGGCAGTGCTTTTACCCAGCCTTTTGGTTGTTTTTCTGTTGTTGTTTTGGTGTGTGTGTGTGTGTGTGTGTGTGTGTGTGTGTGTGTGTAGTCACATTTTGTATTTGCAGGCTCAGGCTCTCTATTTAGTCAGGATTCTCTGAGGAACAGAACTGGTAGAATGAACTAATATTTATCTAATTTCAGTAAGGGATTTATTTATTAGAGTGTTTTACAGGATGTGGTCTGAGTAGTCCAACCATGGCTGTCTCCTGACGGAAAGGCCAAGAGTCCAGTAGTGTAGTTGTTCAGTCCACATTCAGATGTCTCAGCAGTTGCTGTGAGGAGTCCCAGTGCTGGCATCCCAGGAAGGTCCTAGAGAG